AGTGAATTCTAAGAAAGATTTTATGGCAGGTCAAAACAAAAATCCTATTCAAAAAAAAATATTGAAATTCTTGCCTGGCAATTTTATGGAATTATATAATCGAATATTGAATATATATATACACACACACTATATTACCAAAACATTGTTAACGCAACATTGGATTCAGGTGTTCCGTTAAATTTCCTTGAAACTAAATATTCCACGGTCAACTGTTCGTGGTATTAAAACAACGTGGAAGCAACTGGGAACCACAGCAACTCAGCCACGAAGTAATAGGGCACGTAAAATGACAAAGCAGGGTCAGTGCATGCTGAAGCGCACTGTGCGCAGAAGTCGCCAACTGTCTGCAGAGTCAATAGCTACAGACCTCCAAACTTCATGTGGCCTTCAGATTAGCACAATAACAGTGCATAGAGAGCTTCATGGAATGGGTTTCCATGGCCGAGCAGCTGTATCCGAGCCTTACATCACCAAGAGCAATGCAAAGCATCGGATGCAGCGGTGTAAAGCACGCCAACGCTGGACTCTAGAGAAGTGGAGATGTGTTCTCTGGAGTGACGACGAATCATGCTTCTCTCTGGCAATCCGATGGACGTGTCTGGGTTTGGCGGTTGCCAGGAGAACGGTACTTGCCTGACTGCATTGTGCAAACTGTACAGTTTGGGGGAGGGGGGATTATGGTGTGGGGTTGTTCTTCAGGGGTTGGGCTTAGCCCCTTAGATCCAGTGAAGGGAACTCTTAAGACATCAGCATACCAAGACATTTTGGACAATTTCATGCTCCCAACTTTGTGGTAATAGTTTGAGGATGGCCCTTCCCTGTTCCAACATGACTGCGCACCAGTGCACAAAGCAAGGTCCATAAAGACAGAAATGAGCGAGTTTGTGGTGGAGGAACTTGACTGGTCTGCACAGAGTCCTGACCTGAACCCGATAGAACACCTTTGGGATGAATTAGAGCGGAGATTGCGAGCCAGGCCTTCTCGTCCAACATCAGTACCTGACCTCAAAAATGCGCTTCTGGAAGAATGGTCAAACATTGCCATAGACACACTTCTAAACCTTGTTGAAGCTGTTGTAGCGGCAAAGGGTGGGCCAACTTAATACTGAACCCTATGGACTAAGACTGGGATGCCATTAAAGTTCATGTGCATGTAAAGGCAGGTGTCCCAATACTTTTGGAGTCTTCAAGTACTTGGCAGACTCTGCAGACTGTCTAAATGAGATGTTGTTGCTGATAGGACAGAGGGAGGAGAGGGGTGTGTACCACCTCTGAGTCATACAGGTCTATTTCTGGCTATAAGAAAGAGCCTTCCCAAAACAAAGAGCTTGCATAAAGCTTATTACATGCTTGCTGCAAGTGTTAAATAATAATATTTATAGCAATATCTTATATTTATGTAACTAAAAAGAAAATGTATTAAAAAAACAATATCCACCCCTTTAAATATTCATTCCAGGCTATTTTACCATCTAACATGTGATAAACAACATAACATTGTGATAAACAACATAAATTGATCCATGCAGTCAGGATTTTCTAAGTTATTAACTGAAGAAATATCAGACTTTCAGCATCTCTTTAGCTATATGGTTTGCTAGAATAGTAAAAACAGCCTTAACTCCAAAAGTTAAAAAATACACAATGTTTTTTCAGAAAAATATTATTATTACATATCTTACCTTAAACTAATTTGTGATGCTAATTCATGTTTTCACTTGTTTGATGTTCAATGTTGTGATCATTGTATTTCATATAGGATTTGTAAATGTTCCCTCTAGCGGACAAGTGTTTATCATGAAATGTGATCATCAACCCTCTTAAACAACAGTTAACTAAAACTGCCAATAAATATACCACCCACCACTCCATTCAGTCACCAAGAGTGGGAATAGGAAGCCCTGTGTAAGCTCTATTTGCACTTTTGCTGTCAAATTTGAGAAACGTTCTCTATATGTAAAGAAAATATTCTTACCTTTTTAGATGTTTTGTTAAATCAGGCAAGATGGCTGATTCCTGGTTTTTCTTAGCCCTTTCACTCTAGGCTGTCCCAATGGAAAGTCTTGTGACAGAAATTTGAGGATTGAGTGCATCTGATAAGCTTCATTAACATACAATGGGCTAACCAGCTCAGACCCCCCACCTCTTACAGCCGCTTCGAACATTTCAAAGACATAGAAACAAGAAGACATTTTAACCCTTAAAACCCTAACCCAAGTAAAAGCAATTCAAACTGCAAGAAGCATTTTTACTTCTTTTTTTTTTTAGCTTATGCTATGTGAATGGGAACATGTAACAAATATCAAATAGGTGTTATCCCAATTTGGCTGCGAAAGTGGAAATACCTGTGTGTCATAGCCCCTGATTTTAAACATCAGTATTTGATTTTCAAACCGTCTCTGTACTACACGAGGACACAAAGAGGTAGTCAGAAGTGTTGCTCCTGTAATATAATACCTGTCCAACATATTGGAAAATTGCCCTGAAAGCTGGGTGGAGCTGTTCACTGGTGACGTGTGTAGGATACAAAAGCACCATGTGCTCACCACTGACCACAACTCATGCCACTGCTCCTGCCAGCCATGAGAGGATGGGTGAATGTACCCCTGCCTATCATTCTCATTCAGATATCTACCCATCTATGGCTAGATCTTGGCCATCTTGCATTAATACTAGATTGCATATGTAATGAACAGATATTTCTGCGCCATATGCATATTTATAGTTGCAAATTCTAAACTTTAAGTTTTTAGAGATTAGTTACTTTAAGTTGATCGCATATATATATGTGATCATATAGAGTATATCATATATTTGTGTTTATATTTAAAAGAAATGTAAAAAAAAACCTGTAGTTTCCTTTGAAATAGTTACTCATGCCATCATGTTGATCTCTTCTCCCAAGTGGCCAGGGCTGTTTTGTGCTGAATTAAACTTTCTCATTTAAAGCCTATGTAACTATGTTACAAAGGCCATAGGGACAGTGTAACATTTTGTGTAAAGGTACAGTGTAACATTTTGTGTAAAGGTTCTGTCCACTCTGTACAGAGGAGAAAATGGAAACTTTCAATTTTCTAGCACAGAAATGGCAGAAATGTACCTTCATTAGGTGTGACAAGCATGCAGGAAAATTGTTGAATGGAGACAAACTATAACTCCTGTCAATGTACATGTGCCACTTACTTAGGGCATAGGGAACTTGGGGATACCACTTCCTGAAACTCACACGATGAGCTGTATTTCTGAACAGTCAGCTATAACATTAACCCCTTCATGACTGAGGCCCTTTTTTCAATTTTTGCACCCATGTTATATTCCACATTTTAGGCCTGAAAATGACGTAAAACCCCCCAACATTATATATAAGATATTTAACTTATTATGTATCACTCGGCTGTAGATCCTCAAATCATCTCTGAATTCATGCTGACACTGTCCTTCCTTCTGGAGGGGGGCTACTTTTTGTTCCCCATGGTCCCTGTGTGTGTTGTAAAGTATCCACTACTCCAAGCTCGCTCCCGTGATGGACTTCAATCTCACATGTAGATTACTAATTTGTATTGAGATTGTAGCCCATCAGCGGAACAAGCTTGGAGCGGTGACTACTTTACAACACACACAGGGACCATGAGGAACAAAAGTAGTTCCCCTCCAGAAGGAAGGACAGTGTCAGCACCAGTTAAGAGATGATTTGAGGATCTACAGCCGAGTGATACACAATGTTTATTGTTGTTAATAGTTAGGGTACTTGAATGTATTTTTAGGATTGCACCCCTGAGTTAAAGTGTCACTTCCATTAACTGATTCTCATTGAAACAACAACGTATTTCCAAATTACTTGGCATCATACAGAAGGTAGGGGGCTAGAGGCAATTCCAAATTGAGCAGGATTTTGGGAACGGCTCTATGTATTTACAGTTGCTCTTACCTACAGTAGTAATATGTTATATGTTCCCTTTTTTAAAGTGAATTTAGGTCCTAAAAGCTGGCATTCTAAAATAATGCTAACGTGTGGGCACATTGAGGTACCTGCAAGTACTTTTGGTTTTCTTTAAATCTTTCTGTGGAGCTCTCAAATTCTGTCTACATTGGCAGTAAGCCATGCCCACTACCAATACTAAACCCTGCTTGTAGCCATTCAACAGTTCCAGGCTAGAATCTCTGCTGGTCTTTGAGTTTCCGGCAATGAGCTTTGAATGTGAACAGCAGTTGAGACACAGGATATAGATTGGAAGGTTGGAAATACATGCTGTCTCTGCTTCATAGAGTAAAGTAAACCAGTAGAGGCAAAGCATAGGTTTGCGTTCATCTTATACCACGATATATGCAATCATTGCAGATACAGATTCAGATAATAGCCCAAAATCCTTTTCATTACTCTGGACTATATATTCAGTTTATTAATGATTTAGTCTACAACATTTTTCAGATATTTATAATATTCCAGCATATATTAGCATTAGTGTTTGATCTGTTTATCTGTATCTGTTCTCTCACTCTGTAATTTTTTGTAATGTCATTTATACCTTTGTCCCCCTATTGCTTTACCTCTTAGTGGCTTGTACATAGAAAAAATACTGTCTTCGTTTTATAAAATGCATTTTTGTTAGCCCTGCAACTTGTACCCCGTGGATTTAAAGCTTGCAAAGCCATAGTACAGTTCATCTGGTTGCCAGTATCTAGCAAATGCCATGTTTTCCTGTTGGTTACATGTACTGCAATTACCAAATTTTACTATGCTTTAGTGAAATTTGGAAATGTTTGCACCCAGCTAGCAAATCATTTTCTAGTGTGTTTGCATCTAGCAAATATGCCTGTCCATACCTTACATATTTGCTGATTGAACATTCCAGGTCTAGTAATGATCCTATGGGCAACTATAGATCATTATGGAATGGCAAGTTTCTCTAAGTAGTTAAATTCCGCTTAGAAATTGTATTGTTTTTCCAGAGTGGTTATTATTTTCACCTAATTAAAAAAGTGTTGTGTTCCAACAGGGAAGAAGAACTCCATTCTCCAGCAACGGTTTCAAAAGGAGCTCAACACAGGAATATTCAACAACCAGGAGAGCGAGATACTGAATCAGATTGTGAAACAGGACAGGGAAATGATAGAGGGGGCTCCCTCAGTTAGCTACCAGCAACTTCCAGCTCTGAATTCTAGTACCAGCTCATCACTGAGAATGAGGACCCAATCCCCCCCTGTTTATACTGCTAACAGTCTGTCTCATGGAAATCTACAATCTCCCACACCAAGTCCACAGACACCCCAACAAGCGGCTATGTTTTCACCATCTTTCTCAACAGCTGCTTGCAGTCCTTCAGTACAAAGTCCACTGACAGGTCGAACATTTCAGTACAGTACCCCCACGGCTTCACAACTTTCATTATTACAGCAGCAACAGCAACAGCAGCAGCAGAAATCTATGTCTGGTTCATCTTCTGTCAATGAAGCTAACAAGAGCAGTCAAGCTCTACCAAACTCTAACCTGAGTAGAGAAGTGAGGCCTCTCTCTGCTTCGCAGCCTTCTTTGCCCCATGAGATCTCCCCTCTAGTGACTAAGCCACACCCAACCGTAGGGGAGTCATTGGCCACCCTACCACAACCAGTATCAAATGTGCAGCCTTCAGGTGCTCAGTCTGGAAGCCGAAGCAATGTCCCTCCCCGGGTGGCCCTGTTTCGACAGATGTCTTCAGGAGCTTTACCTCCTGCAAGGGTTGGGGCACCAACTCAACCATCCACCCCAGCCCCAGCTCCCAGCAAGGATTCCACCACAGGAGCAAGTGCAGACACAGACACAGACAAACCACGTTATGCTTCAAATTTATGATGCCTCTTACCTGTACATAAAGACAACACTGAATTAAACTGAAAACATCCCAAAAAACAGTTTTAATCGATAGAATCCTAATATCTATTATGAAGAAAACATTTAGATGGCTCATCCGTACATAAAGAATGTAAAAAATAAAATAAATATATATATATAAATAAATATATATATATATGAACTGATTAGCACTAAAACTACTATGAATATACATTCATATACATATATGTGTCTTCCTTTTATTTTAAACATTAAAAACATTTTTGTAACTTTTTTTTTTTCTCTTTGAGTAGACATTTCCAATTCAATTCATCCAATTTTCTTAATTATCAGGAGGGAATTATATTAACATACAACTCGAAATTACCATCATTCAAAATGACTGGTAATTATTTGCATTTTTTCCTCATCTTGTACATTCCAATGTCACAAAAAAAAAAAAAACATGAATGCATAATATGTCATAGATCAGTGCCTGTCCATCCATTAATATAGCACATATGTTACTGCTAGATTAGATTTAATAATCACCATTTGTTTCATGTTAACGTTAAACCTAAATAGTGCATATTTGCCAACATTTCCAGATCAAAATTGTATCACGTGGCCTGGCCTCTGATCTCTCCGGCTCTGCAATTGATAACCTAACCCCTCTCAGAATTGACCCACGATAATAGATAAAGACAAAGTCCAGCAATCCCCAGCCAGAGGTCAGGGCAATGCCGAGAAATGGAGGACTGTTGGCAAGTATGTAGGTATTTTGGTAGATCCATTTATAGTCATTAGGGGTCTTCTTGGAAAAGGCAAAGACACCCAGAATCCCATGATGAAAAGCAAAGCACCAATCTTTGCACATGTGTACCTATGTTTCCAACTCCAGGAATGCCTATCTTCATGAAAGTGCAGTTCATTGAGGCACATTTCAAATTTTAGGGAAGTATGAAATAAGCTGGTTTGATCAATTATTTCCTGAATCTGGCTTTCATGCTGCAGTCAGACCTCTCTACAAAGAAAGACAATTATTATTATAACATGGTACAGGGTGGGAACACCATATCTACACAGCGGGGGTGATTTACTAACCTAAACACACGCACGTACTAGGTGCGTGTAATTTTTACACAGCAAAACGTATTTATCAACCAAAAAGTCTCTAAAAGCATATTTCCACTAATGCCATACATGGAAAAATCATGCACATGATGCATATATAATGCTGCTTCACAGTTTAGACAAAAATGGTTAGCTCATGCATTTACATTCCTGCATTCATCAACGCAAGCAACACAACATAGAGCTAATTTACACAACATCACCTTGTAATTCATGCAGGGTTTTGCACAACACACCTGCTGGGTGTGTACACACTACAAAGGTGTTTAGATTCAACCCATAGATCATGCTGGGAGGGAACACACTACAGAGGTGTATACATGTTTGTGGTGTGTTTATAAGGTTAGTAAATCAACCCCTATGTCTCCAGTTCTGGGCTGCTAAATATGGCACTTTGTAAGGTCTATATTCTTCAGATGAGAACACAAAACAAGCCACTTAAAGCTGGAATCCAGTTGAGCAGCTAAATACACAGATGTGTGGGAGATGCCACCATACCTGTTAAAAGATTTGCTTTTCTGTTAATTCAGTCCTAAGATTTACACAACCTTGCATGAGAAAGCAGGAGAGATTATGTTATTCTGTTGCAATAAGTAACATGTACAGGTCTTGTCCATCTTCCCAACCTGTGACTGGACAGTGAAAAGAGAAGTAGCAGACTGATGAGCTTATCTCCATACATCTATCAACATGTTCCTTGTTAGCACATTAGCAGTGCACTAATAATTGGTTACTTGCACTGACTCTCCCAGTCTGATCTCTACTGTACAGGGGCCTGCAGGAGGGTTGATACCAGTTAAATTTAAGGTGCTTACACCGTTTGCTTTTTTAGAAAAAATATATTTAATGGTGTAATAAATAATACAGAGCTGCCAGCTGTATTAATTCATGTTCTTCATATCTGCCTGGAATTTAGATTTATATGACCATAGACTAATCCAAGATTTGCTGGCAGGTAGAAGACTTTAAAATGGGATAATTGCTCACTGTCATGCAGTATAGTGCTATTCGGAGTTTGTGCAACTCCAAGGGCTTATATTGATTGCATATCATTATTATCATTAATATTATTGTGCAACCAATATTTGATTTATAGTTGAGTAAATTCTAACAGGACAGGGCATAGCATTTGTCAGCAGTGCTGCTTTTAGCTGAATTTTGTTTTAGCCTGACAGGTTTTATTGAAGATGAGCTTTGGGCAGATATTAAAACGCACTAGCAAATGTAATCATTTAGGCATTTAAAGAAAAACATAAATGTATTTGTAAATGCAACTAGATCGGTACTTGAGTTAGACTTCACAACATGTAGCCCCCTATACAATAGGAAAATAAAATGGCAGCAATAGGAACAAATCAGGTCTACTGCAGTGTGTATGCGCTGAGAAGGAAATGGTGATAGAAGGAGAGAGCGGGGTGAGAAGATTGATGAGCTCATCAGTCTGGTGCTGCGTCTTCTCTGTCTAGCCACAGACTAGGAGATGGGGAGGGGACCTAGTAGTTTTGCTCTAAATGCAGTAAAGAAAAGTCACCAACCTGACTGTGCTGCCCGTATGGTCTAAATTTCAGAACTAGATGGGCACAAAGGCAAACCTTTTAAAATAGCTCCCATATACATTTTTTAACATTGCAAAGAGTTCATAATCACAAGCGCCAGCACCAGTATCTGTGTAGACAATGTACTGCACTCTTGAGGCAGCTCCCGCTGGTTTAGGGCAACCACAAAACTGTAATATAAAACAAAAAGAGCGCCTCCATCGTGTAAAACCGTTTTAATTTAACGATATAAAAAAAAGTTAAAATCGTAATCACAAACAGATGGTGATATACAAGCATATAATGGGAATCAGGAAACGAAAATTGAGATTGTGTGTCCGACACAGCCAGCAAGCTGCATAGCCTCCCTGGTTTACACGTTTCAGAAGGCACGCCTCCTTCCTCAGAACCAATGAGGAACCTCATTGGTTCCTCAAAACCAATGAGGAAGGAGGCGTGCCCTCTCAAATGCGTAAACCAGGGATGCTATGCAGCTTGCTGGCTGAGTCAGACACACAATCTCAATTTTCGTTTGCCGATTCCCATTATATGCTTGTATATCACCATCTGTTTGTGAGTACATTTTTAACATTGTATTTAGCTGTTTGCTTTTCCTTTTTTGCTGTGGGCAAAGGAGATTGAGCCTTTAGCAGAAAGAGATCTTTTAATATGTTGCAAAGTCTCTGGCTGTCCTGTGCTGATAACGGGCTCCAAGATAGTGACAGAGTATTGCAAGTCAAGTGTAGATGGTTCCTGTAGTCTCAAATATTTCACCAATGGATTTTCCCCACAAGCAATTAAAAATAAATATTGACACATCCTTTTTGGATGGCATTTCCCACAGCTGGTGTTCCACTACATGAATTCGGAATAGATGTTCAATGCGGACTTTTTTCAGGTTTATACTTGACCCCTCATGCCTATATTTGTTCTTATTTCACATGACTAACAGCCTGTGTGCTTGAAAACAGCTCCCCTTGTTGTAAAGATTTAAACTGCATGCCCTTTGTATATACACATGTCCACTACAAAAATGTAAACCAGATCTTCTGACTGCTTTCACAAACCTCACTGCTTTGCTTTTTGAGTTTCTCATTAGTACCGCAGATGTCTACTGCATGGCTTCTATTAAAGCAAAATCTTACTGCATCCAGCATATGGGTCACAAAGGGAAAAAAATATATTATCTCAAAATCTTATTTTGAGAATGTAACAACACACTCTTGTTTGCTTGAACAAAATCATAGAACACTGGTTGTTTGTCTACCATTTGTGTGTTTCTTGTGATATACACTTCGAGACATCACTACTTTGTGTCTTTTAGATGTTCCATGACCATTTCAAAAATATAGCTTCACTATGCTGTTGAGATACGCACAGTGTGCTCTCTGTGTATGATGTAAAGGCATGTAGTATAAAAGCTTAGCCAATAGTTATCAATTTTATTAGGTGTCTTTTTAAACAATGGGGGTGGGCAGTAAGGAAAGGAACAAAAAAAAAACAGTGGGATCAACTGTTTTGTGAATGCCAAATTCAATGTCTAAACCTTAAACTAGTCTTGTGATTTAGGTGACTTCTTTCTTCTGAAGTTCTTAAGCTATCATTTGTGCCTAAAATCATCTACCTTTATATTTAATTAAGTGGGTCATTACAACAACATTTGTACCGAATAGTATATACTAGTTGTACATATCTACATTTCTGCAATACAGACCTGTGTGATTAAATCACATTTGCCATAGAACCTTTTTTTAAGGCTGTAAATAATATGCTTTATGTATAGATCGAAATCAAGCAATGGAGACAAAGCTTTACTGACGACCATGTGCAATGTTTTAAATGAGAGATTCTGATACTACACTCCTATGCCTTTTGTTGAGATTATGTATAGAAATCACATTTTTAAGTACAAGACTGTAATATACGGTAGTGAAATAGCAAAGCCAGTATTGACAATAGAAAAGGGTTGGTACATTGTATATATTGTGTTTAGTTCAAAGCACTTGATTTTATTTTTTACTCTGTAGTCCTATTCACAGAGTTGAACTTTAGACTACAGGTTAAGTCAGACCATTAATGCAATAGTGGTATCTTTCAAGTAAAGCCTGCTTGCAACGCAAGTGTACTTTTTAAAAGTACATTCTCATATGGGCATTTATATTTTAAGGACTTGGCTATATGGAATAAATGCATCTTTACGTTTAATGTGGTTTCCATACATTAACTCATGGAAATTACGACTGTGTTAAAAAGGATAAGGCATTACACTGAACCTGCAAACTTCTAGGTGCCTGCTGGTATAGTAAGTTCATCTTCAGAACACCCAGTTATTCCAAAAACCCAGACACTTTAATATACTGTACTAACATGCCTGCCATGCTCTATTTGGCCAGTGAGCTCACCCTTCAGCTTTGGTTGCAAATAGGCAGAGACAGGGGCAGGAGGAGGCATGCCAAT